ATTTGCATAGCTTTAAGGGTTTTCTCTAATGTTAGCTTAATACTGAGTGCACAAATGACAATGTCCGTGTGTTACGGAAGAAGGTACAACCCATTTGTAAGTCCCACAATATTGACACCTACAGTCTAGATATTATGTGCTGGATGGTGTGCCTCAAGCCAATATCTTATATCAAATGAGAACATCGTCGCTTTGACTCATGCATTCTCACTTTTGAATTTTTTGGGTGTTCTTTTCAAATCGAAACATCCGCAAGTCATATACAGTCTATGTCATAGTTGGACCTGGAGGTATCAACCCTTATAGCTTTTATAGCTCAATTCAATTCAATTCGATTCATTATTTCTATACCGCTTTTACAATGTGGATTGTGTCAAAGCAGCTTAACATAGAAGATTATAGTAAATTGAAATCAGTTTTTCAGAGTTTAAGTTCAGTTTAGTTCAGTACAGTGGGATTTAATTTTTACTGCTAAAGTCCAAATACTGAATGTAATGCCTAACTACAATGGTCAGCTGTTAATATCAAGAATAAAAAAATAAATAAAAAATGACAGGGAATAGGGATTTTGTATGAGCCATCTCTACAGTCATGTGAAAAAGCCATTAAACTTCATGGTTTTCTGTTTCAGAACATAAAAAATAAATACAAAAGGGTCCTTGCAGGTCTTAAAATTTGGAAGATAAAATTGTAAGAACATCATATCTCACACTATGTCATGATTTAACAAAAATAGAGCAAAAATAGAAAATCCAAGGTGACAAACTTAGCACACCCTTTCATTCAGATGCCTGTACATCCACTTTTATCAGTTATTTCCTAAAGTAATCATTTTCTGTACACACTTATAAATCTTTCATATCATTATTGAAGAGTATTTAAAAGTTTTATTTTTTAACAGCTCTCATAGCATTTCATTCTGAAGTTTTTTTAAACTATTGCAACCTTTTTCTCTTGTTGCATGACCCATTTTTGGCTGAGCTTTAGCTCTTGAACAGGCATTGTGTAATGACACACACCTAAGTACAGGCCAACAAACTGCTAAAACTTCTGCTTATAATGCTTTTTTTAGACAAGGCTTTTTCACATGACAGTATGTGCATATACATTTAAGTGAAAACACAGCCTTTTAAAAAATAAAATATTATAAATGTAGTCACTATGTTATACAGATATTTATTTGGATTACTTAGTTTTGGATTGGCATTGACTAATCTAAAATATATGCACAAATATTTTATTTTAAATCATTATATAGAAAATCTTAATTTAAAAGAGAGATCTGTGAGGGGTGTACTCCTTATATATGTCAGAATTATTAGCCCCCCTGTCTATTTTTCCTCCCAATTTGTGTTTAACAGTTTTTTTTCAACACATTTCTAAACATAATAGTTTTAATAACTATTTGTTTTATCTTCGTTATGATGACAGTACATAATATTTTACCAGACATTTTTCAAGACACTTCTAAACAGCTTAAGCTGTTAAAGGCTCTTGCTCTGTTAAACATCATTTGGGAAATATTTAAAAAAAAGAAAAAGAAATTCAAAGGAGGTCTAATAATTCTGACTTCAACTGTATATATATATATATATATATATATATATATATATATATATATATATATATATATATATATATATATATATATATATATATATATATATATATATATATATATATATATATATATATATATATATATATATATATATATATATATATATATATATATATATATATATATATATATATATATATATATATATATATATATATATATATATATATATATATATATATATATATATATATATATATAAATAACTAATTTCATTTCATTTTAAATATTTATATTTTGATGCAGTCCTTCTTAGCTCAACTCAGAATATGGGCTCATACATTAAGATGTATCCTAATATGTTCTGTTGTGGACCTAAATCATCCATGTTATCAACAATTTAAACATTTTACTGATTAATAATCATATCTTATCAATATATAATATTTAAAATCCAAGAATTTCTGAATATAAATTTCAGTAAAAGGCAACAAGCTTGTAAGAACCAATAAAACAATGTACAGTAATTGTCCCTATTCAATGTTTTTTTTTTTTTTTCAGGAATTGTGATGATTTAAGAACTTACACTTTAATAAAATGAATAAAAATCAAAGACTTTTAGAGAACATTAAAAAAAAACATTATTATGCATTCAGAGCGCAAAATTTACTTTTTGATTTAAGATTAAGATTTTAAGGCTCAGTTTTGCAGACACTAAATATAAAATTGCATGTTTGACCAGACTTAAATGGAAAAAAAAAAAACTTGCAACGATACATCTTAAAATACAACATTGCCATTGATTGGTCTCAAGACGCACACAAATTGTGCGTTTATCTTAGTAACTTTAGTAATAGAGGCTTAAACACCATAAAATTTAACCCTAGTCTTGACTTGCACTAAAATATTGACAGAATATCACTGTATTATCTGCTTACAAGCATGGTCTGTGAAACTAGGCATAAAACTTTTACTTTTAATTTGATATAACTAAATATAAGACTCTTTACACACCCTGAATAGCCTGAAATACTCAGGTGAAATTAAAAAGAACAAAATGTGTAACCTTTTGATTTCAGAAATATTAATTTCTACAATCTCATTCGTACATTTTAGCACGATTTACTCATCCCCAAATAAAGGGTAGGTTTATTAGTGGGATTCGGGGACATCCCTGCTTTTAAAGAAATAAATAAAAACTATGTTTTAAAACTAATAAAATTGTATGAAATCAAACAAATTAGCAACTTTTTCTGACAATATATAAAAATAGCACCGTTTCATGATGAGATTGGGCTGAAAATTAATTATCCGCATTTGTACAATGTGAATCATGACTCAAATAACACACATAAAAACTGAACGTCTGAAGATAACTCTCAAAGAACAGAAAATATGAACGCATACAAATGAGATTACCATAAATTCCACGAAATGTAAACATAGTTTCAAGGTGCCAGGAGATTAAGTGCTCAAAAATCAAAAATAAAACTGGGACTCACTTTGTCTTTTGAATTTATGAAGCTTTTTCAGCTTACTTTTCTTCTTTCCATCAATGTTTTTCACTTTCTTGGGTTTGGTCAGCTTGAAGCCAGGTCCTGCTCTTGCATCTACCACCTTTGAGGAAGGGAAAAATACTTCGGTAAATATAACCAAATGTCTAGAATACAACAGATGACTCCAGGAGAATGAAGAACAGTCACTTACATGGTTCCAGTTCTTCTTTGATCCATGCGGTAACTTCTTCCAGCGTTTTACCAGGAGCACACAAGCATTGCAGATGTCTCCGACTCGATCCTCTGACAGACTGAGAGCAAAACAAATCAGAAGGTGATAATTAATATTAAACAAGCTAATTTTTTCAGTCATGCAATAAAAATATCACCATCCAAAAAACAAAAGCAGTTTTAAACCCTATTGATCAACACAGGGAATAAAAAGGTTAAAGCTATTAATCCTCCTGAATTATTTTACTATTTTAACTATTTTAAAAAAATCCTATTAAAAAAATAAAATTGCATTGGGAATAAATGCCTTCTAATACTTAGCCTTTTTTGCTAAAGAGATTTTATACAATCTACCAGACAGAAGTGTTTTGTTACAGCAGGGCTTGAAGAGACGAGGATCGATGATCACTTCACCGAAACGGTCCTTGTAGACGATCGCTACATTTACTGACCGTGAAAATTTACTTTTGCTTTTAACAGAGAGGGAGTTAAACCAGGTTACAACGTTAAAAGGACAGATTCAATAAGTGATTTATATAGAGCGGGGTGAATTTGCCTGAAATAAAAATTGAACATCTTAACTCGATTCCGATTAATGAACGATTATTTAATTTTTTTGCCCTCATAGTTCACTGACAAGTTTTATATGCCATCTAAAGGCATCTCTGGCGCAGCTTCCAACCTGTGAAGTGCAAAGCAAGGCTCAAGAATGAGTCCATCATCCTACTTGACCTGAGATCAGATGTGGCTGCAGAAGTAGAAATCAGCAACAGCCTTTAACAGAGCAGGGTCACATGACATGTAGGCAAATTTATAGACATTTTTTTTTTTAATCGATTATAGGTTTCGAATGTCGATTTCGATTAATCGCCCAGTCCAAGATTTATTATATGACAATCAAAATGTCCATCTCAATACCAAAACTCATCATTATTATCATTGTAGCAGTGGTTTGTTCTGTAGACAATCGAAAGGAAATATTGCTTAAGAGGGCTAATAATATTAACCTTAAAATGTTTTTTATTATTATGTAAAACTACTTTTATTCTAGCCGAATTAAAATAAAAATATTATAGGAAATACTGTGAAAATCCTTGCATTGTTAAATATCATTTGGGAAATATTTGAAAAAAAAAAAGGAAAAATATTCACAGGACGGTGAATAATTTTGACTTATACTGTATATTAAATGCGTTTCCATTCATTTAAATATAGTTAATTGATTGCATTCTCGATTTTTTTTTCATAAACAGTGTATACAATTTATACATGCATTAACAAATAGGCAGATCATCTTTAACAATGAATAAAAAGAACTTCAAAAAACAAACAAAAAAAGAGAAAAAAAAAACAGCTAAACACAGGGGGTTTATAAAAAAATACATATTGAACAGACACAATTTTACTCATTAAACTGGGAAAGAACAGCAGACAGTTGACGTTTTAAGAGCCTTTTGAGACAATTGAATCAGTAAAAGGTATTGTTTAAATACCTTCAAAAAAAAATAAACATAGGTCTGGAGTTAGAGAATTTTTACTAATGAATTGGAAATTTAGCAAGCAGCAAAATTAAGTTCACCACATGCAACTGTTTACTTTTAGGTTGTTCATATTCAGTACAGCCCAATACTACATCTTTATATCCAATACAAAGTACATTCACTATAAATTTTACTTCGAATAAAATTCAAGTCATTTTTCCTAATTTTTTTTTGTGAATGGACATTACCAAAACAGATGAACAACAGTTTCAAAACAGTCATCACAAAAGGAACCGTTGGAGGAGATTTTTCATTCTCGGTTTCTTTCATTAGACCTGCTTCCAGATGACGAAAGGCATTCCACCGGCATTCCTTGAGGAATGTTTGGGATACGTGCAGCGTCAGGGGAAGACACTTACCCGAAGCAGAGTCTGAAGTTCTCCTCATATCTGCTGCTGTCAGTGAACCGAGAACTTGACGACTTGGTTTTGCAGATACAGCAGCCGTCGTTACTGCGGTAAATCTTGGATTTGTGAAATCCGAACATCTTTAGGGGCTCTGCAAGTGAATGAAGAGCGGCGTTAACAACAAAGGTTTCCTGCTCGGTTTGCGCGGGGGAGCTAGAGGGGGGCGGTCACGGGAATTCATCTTTAGCTCTTGATAATTGATAATGCATTAATGTCTACTATAAGCTACGCACAAAATAATTAAATAAATAAATGCAGAATCGCAGACGCGCGTCTGGGAGAAAAGAGTGTTTGCTTTGACTGTCGCGTCTGCCCCGGTGACCTACATTTGATGTTTGACGAAAGCATTTCGCTGTAGCCACCTTTCATTAAAATTAATGCATAATCTTAAATAATAGACAAACATAATAATAAACATGTGCGTATTTTAATTGGCTAATTTTAAATATAACACGAATATTAAATTATTTTGTAGCGCAAACTTTAAAATTAATACTCTAAGAATAATTTCAGGTGCAAATGTAAAAGAGAAACTCTTTTGTCCTTTTAGGATCTGATTTTGTAAGGATTTCCGTTTTGTTGCATTCGCTCCCAAGTATGGGAAGTCGCTCTTTGGGAATGTTGACATGGGTGATGCTGCCGACCCAACAGACGCGGTTGTAAAAGCGAAAGTGGAATTAAATAGGCGCCTATTCAGCGTTTTAGTCGCCGAGAAACCAAAAGCAAGCACAAAGCACCAACAATGTGGCTGATAATGTTTCAAATGTATCCTCACACACGGTGTGTATGCATAACACAGCGCGTCATATACATCAATGCAAACGCTCACATCAAACATTACGCGAGCCAATCTCCGACTCATCCACAAAACACTTCACACTTTTCAAAATAATAAATGAGAAAAAGGCTTCTAACATGGCATATAGTTGATTCTGAGTGCATTTCCATTCGCTTGCGTGTGTTATATTTACATTTACCGAATCCACAAGATACGCGGTGATCTGTCGCAAATTAACATTCACACGCGTGCTTAAATTAAATTCTAACGAAGCTGTTTCTACACTACACACAAATTATATTTGAGTTAAAATGCTGTTTGGGTAGTCGCGACTCGTTTCTGTGAACTTTCGCATAGAGAGAGAGGGAGAGAGCGCCAAAACGAACGTCCCATTAACAATAACAGCTAGCCCGTTAGCACGCGACCATGCCACGCTCCACATCCACGCGCGCCAAGCCCCATTGTTGATGCAAAAAACCCAGCAGCAAGCCCGCTAACATCGCACACAAAACACGCTACACACCCCGAAGCTGACAGTGCGCACAATTAGGACAAAATGCAGCATTCGTGCTGTTAGTTCGCAACAATAACAAAGGACTTACCGTCAGAAACTTTGAATCCCGTCCGTTTTAGTCGTCTTTACTGCGCATGCCTTACTACGGCCACACACACATACACAGATGAATGGTGGAGGCGGGGCTTCGGTACAAACATTGAGTAAAGGGGTTTGCCGGAGGAAGACCATATAAGGAGCGTAGACGCCAAGTTTAAATATTAATTCAACCAATCACTGCGCTTCACACTCTTGCCATTTAAGAATGTTGCATCCGGGGAAGTACAGACCGGGCAGGCGCGTCGCGCACGTATTGTTCTTGTTGTGACTTGAATGTGTGTGAATGGACTCGTATTACCATAATACTGGCGCTCGAATGGACGAAATATGGGACTTTTGTGTTATATTCGCGTATATTGTATGATATTGGATTACCCAAACGGCTAAGAAGAGATATAATGTTCGTGGTAATGTTGGTAAACGCAGTTTGCAGTGTAAATCCTGTACATAGCTTTTTTAATAAGTGCTATATGGATGTTATCAGTCAATGCCCTCGAATATTTATCTAATAACATGGCTATTCTATTACTAATAAATATATTAAAACTATTAAAAATCCTTCATCTTCAAAGATTTAGAAAATAGTTTTATATTGAAATGTAAGTTTGTAACCATAATTGTGAACTTATGTATACATACATACATACATATATATATATATATATATATATATATATATATATATATATATATATATATATATGCAAATATTCAATTTTAAACATTAAAATAAATGTAGCTGATCGTAACGTGACAAAATATTGTTAAAACGTTACAATTTTAACAATTAACAATGAGAAATACATTTATTCTTTGCAAGTTAATAAATGTGAATTGTAATGTGATCATTGTTAGCTCACATTAGCTCAATTCCAGCAATTAACGTAATTAAAATAACTTGACTTAACTTAAAAATTTTTTTTTTTAATGTATTTATGCAATAATTCATTATTAGAATTAGTTCACGTTAAAAATAATGTACCCAAGTAGAGTTATCAAACTTGCTATTGTCAAACTACTAATTTTTAAATGCAGGTCATGATTTTGCCAACTACGATGCCATCCTGAAACAACATCTATGTTGATCCTGGAACATCATTTTTGTTCGGAAATGTAGTCCATACCTTTTCCTTACCCCTAAACCCAACCATAACTGCAAATTATTACCCAAATCAGAGGAGAATAATCAACACAGTCTCACAGCAAGTCGTAACTTTTTAATTTAGTGGCTAATTTGTATAAATTCGTACTATCTAATTCATACAATTTAGTACGATTTGCTCATCCCCCAATGGCGGTTGGTTTTAGGGTGGGGTTAGGTGCCACGCCTCCTTTTTAAAATCGTACAATTTCGTACGATTGAACTCGTACGAATTCGTACGAATCAGCCACTAAACTGGCAAAACGTAAAATACTTACGTTTTCTCATGAGATCAGGCTGGAATAATAGATAACATCATTTAGAAGTGCGTAAACCTAACCGTAAGCCTAATCTTAAAGAGCCCATATTATGGGTTTTTGAAAATTCCCCTCCATGTAGTGTGTAACACAGCTCTAAGTGAAGTGAAGTATCCAGCTAAGGCTTAAATCTGTAAGAATACAGTGTTTAAAACGGTTGATTCATCTATAAAAGAGTCGACTCATAGTGCTTCAAACGAGTCGCCTTGATCACGATTCATTAGGTGTTTCGCCATGACGTACGAACGAAACCAAGTAATTCACGTGCACGCGCAAACCCGGGAGATTTCAAACCTGAGGCCCCGCCCTCTGACGCAGAAACCCAGACACACACACACCCACAAACACACACACACACACACACAAACATGCCGGTTGATTGAAGTCACACTGCAGATGGATATATTGAGTCTCTACCCAAAGATGAAACCTCAGCATTATAACCAAGCAGTTGGAAACTTCTGGAAGCTACATGCTACAAAGAATACTTCATCTGAGTTTGTTAAAGGAAGGATCAGTAAAGAGTAACTGATGGACGTCAGGATGGGTTTCTTCCATTTCTCAAGTGTAAGTACGTGCGGTTAAAGTTGTTGCCTCGTTGACTCTAGCTTGCAAATGTATTTAGTTGTGATTTGTTACTTGTAACCGCGTGTACTGTATCAGGTTAACTGGATATATTATCTTATCGCGTGCAAAGCCACGTTAAAAACGTGACGCGTGCTGTTTGTTTATGGAGCTCCGTGCTAGAGTTCTGCTCCCGCGATTTATTCGGAAGTTTATTCCCGCGCCGCAGAAATCTGGCGCGGGGACAGCCGCGGGAATAAATTTCGGAAAAATCGCGGGAGCGGTCGGTAACGGGTTTAATTTGGGACGGGAGCGGGCTGTCTAGCAATATCACGGATATTGCTATGTGAATTAGAAAGAGAGAGTCTGCTTGGTATGAGAGAGCGTATGAGAGAGAGCGAGAGAGAGAGAGAGAGAGAGCGAACGAACGAACGAGCTTTGTGCTGTGTGTATGTGTTTATACAGACAGCTTGGCTGTCTGGACTGTATACTGGGTGATTTTTGGTTGTGTTCTCCGCTCTAGCGGGACCGGGCGCGGCGGGCAGAAAACGGAGCGGGTTCTCAGGCTAAAACCTGGCGGGTGCGGGCGGAAGCGGGAGCGTTGTCATCCGGAGGATTGTGTGTGTGTTTTTGTGTGTGTGTGGTATGGCGAGTACACGACTGTCTCCTTCGTTCGGTTATCCGTGGCACTATCCACTCGCCATAGTGTGGCAGCTAAAATCCACGCCTACACTATCGAGCGTGTATGAACTGTGATTACTTTTTAAATTGCTGATTAGCTATTGGCCATTTCACTCTCTGACTGAAGGCAGTCGACCAATCGCGACAGACTGTCATCGGTCCAATCAGCGCAGATTAGCTCCGCGCTAAGGAGGGGTTTGGGAACAAATGAATCAATGGACGATTCATACAGGAGTCGCTGGGATAATTAGGTAAAAATAAATGCAGATTATAAGACCATGAAAGTGTTTTTTGACCTTGCATGCATATTAGACTGTTGTTGGAGACTCTTACAACCAAGATATGACCCTATTTCATGTATAATATGGGCTCTTTAACATAAACATATCACTTACATCTGATTGGCTGATTGGAATGTGGTTCCAGGATCAACATAGATGATAATCCAGGAACATGTCCTACTTGGTGAAGTCAGGTTGGCGCTTTTAATTGTCACTCTCGCTCAAAATCACGTCAAGACTGAAGCCTCATATTGAATTGTCACCTTTAATACATTTTATACACTGTACACAGCTGTTCAATATTTAACACTACATTACACGGCTTTGTCTATAAACGTATCAAGAGATAAAACACAAGGAGGGGAAAATATAATAACAACTCCCAGAATGCTCATGCCAACAGGAACCAGAACAGTCATGAAATTGGCACATGAATATCAGCCTTTAATGTGCTTCTCCCATTAGATCCTACAAACGACGCTGCGCTCTCAAACAGGCGAATGATATATTTCATCAATGTTCGATAACGTTTTGGGGAACTGTAAATATTGCATAGCGGAAACAGAGGGGCTGCTGGGATCTTCAACTGCGGGGAGGGGGAAAAGGCAGCAACGTAATTTAGTCCAGATCTAATATCACAGTAGGGGATATTTTGAAAGAATAAGGTGAACATTGAACGCTATCCTTTTTTAGTTTGTCTTCAAATATCTATCATGTAAAAAAATAATGAGAAAGTTTACTCTTTTGCTGTTTGGAATGCAAAAGGAGATGTTTATACACAATTCCAAGCTGCTCGATTACCATTTAACGAAGTGAAAAGGACAATGAAGGAAGCTTTTTGTCACCGTTCACTTTCATTGTAGACAGAGGGATTGGAATGAGATTGGGGTGAGTAAATGATGACAGACTTATACACTCGCAGTCAAATCTTTATAACGTGTATGTTTTTCAATCGATTAAAGTTTCTTGTGCTCACAATTTTTGTATTTATTTGATCAGAAATACAGTGAAACTAATAATTGTAAAAACATTTCATATTAAATAATGGTTAATTAATACAGCAAGTGTTTATTGCTGTCACTTTGAATTAATTTAATTGCTGAACTATTTTTTTATTGTATTGTGTAATACTATTTAATATAATAATAAGTAATAATATTGTGTAAGCTAGTTTTGCTTTCAATATTTATAACAAAAATAATATAATAAAAAAATTTAAAATATCATTTGCATTTTATCTCACAATTTCTTCCAAAGATTTTTTTTTTACTTGCAAATTGTGAGTTTATGCCCAAAACTTGCACTTTTGTCTGAAAATTGAGAATGTGTCTCAATTTTAAAAGTTCAATTTTGACTTATGAACTCTGAGAGGAAAAATTATAAAAGCAAAATGTAGAACTGCAAGATATAGACTCACAATTACAATAAATAGTGAGAATTAGGTGAAAGACTATAAATTAGTAATTGCAAGAAATCATTTAGAAAACTCAGTGGTGAAGAAATGACACATATGTGCAAGTTAAACTTGCAATTGAGTGAAAAAATTCTGAATTGTACATTTATATTATGAAAACAATATCTAAACTATATATTACAATATTAATTTATAATATATAAAAAATATATATGTAACCCACCGGTCCTACTGTACCCAACCAGGTGTGAACTGTGATCGAACCGGTAATTCATTGCATGGGAGTCGGTTGCTTTAACCATCAGGGCTAAAGTCCATGGCCTCTAGCGTCTGTCGCTAGAGCACCTTTTTTAGGTCAGAGGAGTCAGGTTTACCTGGATAGCACTTCGCTAGCTGGCCTCCGTAACACTCACCCCCTAAACCTCACTCCTATCCCGGACGAGCCCCCACTTGTAAATCACCAGTCCTACTGCACTCAACCCGGTCTGAGCTGTGATCAAACCATTGATTCTTTGTATAGGAGTCGGTTGCTTAACAAGGAGGTTAAAGACCATGGCCTCTAGCGTCTGTTGCTAGAGCAGCTTTTGAGGTCAGAGGTGTGAGGTTTACCTGCATACAGTAGTACTTTGCTAGCTAGCCTCCGTTACACTCACCCCCCTAAACCTCACTCCCATCC